ATAAAAACATCAACACAATTGGAGAAACCACTATATGTAATTGTAGGATTTCAAACAGCAAGAAAAGACAAACGAAAAAAATATGCCTGTCATTTTGATCATTGTAACATTACAAATGTTTAACTATTTTTAAATTCACAATATTACCCTTATGGAAATTTAAATCTAAACTTTGATTAAAATCAGTATGCTCTGCTTTATGAAATGTATGCTAATTTTTAAACATCTTACTATGGAAAAAAATCAGAACCTATTTTAACAAGGGCTATTTTTAAACAACTATTTCCTCTAATTTTTATTGATTGTTCAAAACAAAATGAGTAGCACAAAACAAGCATCAGTAGATGTACGTTTAGAATTTGAATCAGGAAATAATATGCCGGCTGAGACCAATGCATATTGCCTCATTATCCATGACCGCGTTGTTCAATATAAACCAATCAGCGGCGTCGTGAAAATCACTGGTTAACACACAATTACCATGGAATCCATTGGACAGCTGGAGACGTCTCTTACGATGAACTTCGTCCCATTCTACTTGAGAAATATATACAAAATGTACAAAATTTAGAAGATTTTAAATGTCCATCGTTGAAAAAAATTAAATCTGATTTGTTAACATGTACGCATCATACTCTTTATAATGATAATTGTGCTGTAAAAAATGTAAAGATTCTTCGCGATTGGTTTTTGGATCCTCCAAACCAATATATAAGTGCTATTATTAAAGAAACTAATGAAGTTGATTCTACGTTTACTAATTTACAATCTTTCTATGAAAATTGTGAATATATTTGATAAATTTTTTCAAATAAATAAATATTAATTTTGAATTTAAATAAAAGTCTCTCTCTGTTAATTTTAAAAGCCTATCCCTTTAGTATTTGAATTACCCCCACAGCACCGAAAATTTCCTGAAAATTTCCTAAAGATTTATTTGCAAACTTCAGAAACTTTAATTGCAAAGTTTAGAGAAAATTGTATAAAGATTTAAATGTTCAAAATGAATAAATGTTTGGCGTAAAACTTGACGGAAGATTTAAATTAAATTTTCCAGAAATTTTCGACGCGAAAATTGAGTGAAGATTTAAATTAAAGTTTCGTGAAATGTTTGGCGTAAAAGTTGACTAAAAATTTAAATTAAATATTTATTAAAAATTTATACCGAAAGTTGAGTGAAAATGTAATTTAAATATTTAGTCAATTTTTGTAACGAACATTTCCTAAAAATTTAAATTAAATTTTCAGAAAAGGTTGGACGAAAATATTTGTAAAAAATACAAAAATAATATTTAAGAAGTATTAATATTATTATTAATATTAATAATAATAATAGATAGATAGATAGATAGATCTTTATTATTATTATTATTATTATCAATAAAAAAAATTTACTATCTGTGATTAAAAATAAAATAAATAATATACAAACATTGTTGCTCTGCTTTGATTCACATTGAATCAAGCACTGCATACTTGATTGAGCAAGAACTTTTGAAAACAAATTTTGGGGTGCTGGGGATTGAACCTACGTTCGCTGCGCGCTAGCTAAAGACCCTAACCACTACACTACAGATATCTGGCTGAGAAAAAAAAATCTTCCACAGGCTCTACAACTTGCTGATAGACAAGTAATCCTACTTATCGACTTAAAAGGGCGGGCTCATTTAAAAAGGTTTTTCACGGAGATATTTGAATATTCTGAATATTCACATTGCAGGTGAATATAAAAATTAAAAGTGTATTGAAATAATGCTGTAAAACCATGACTGAAGGTTATGTGAAGAGGTTATTATAAAATTAATTATTTTTTAAAATATTATTTTTTAATTAAAAATTCACAAATTTGCAAAAATTAATTTTAATGTTTTTTATTTATTAATAAACAATTATATTAGTATTGTTAAAGACAAGAAAAAGCGTTTTAAGCGGACATGTTCTTCCTCCGAAGACATGTACCTTTTTATAATTTTAATTTTAATTTAAGTGTAAGTTTATAATGTTTGATAAATTTATATAGACTGAAGAGGGTAGCAACGTTGCTGCCGAAACGTCTCTAATAAATATTTATAAAAACTAAATTTCCAGTCTTATTCCTGAAAAATTAATATATTAATTATATTAGTATTATTAAATACAAGAAAAAGCGTTTTACAAATAATTAAGAAAATAATTTCAATATATTAAAATAAAAAATGAAAATGTACATAAAAATTCTATCTTTTAAACGTTTAAATCAAAATTATTATTCAAAAATTATTTATTATAATTAAAAATGTATTAATTAATGAAAAATTAATTTTTAAATATTTCGTTTTTTGTAAAAGATTGTGGCCTTTACAAAATGGTTCTTAAAGTTGAAATAAAATTTTTAAAAAATTAATATTTCGATTCGAAATAAAATTGATTAAATAGACAGAAAGAAATTCTTGTAATATACAGGGTGTCCCATTTTAATCTATCAGTCGAAATAACTTTTAATCAGTTGATTTCACAAAAAAATGTTTTAGACAAAAGTTATTGTGCTGAGAGGGGGACATCCAGTGGTAAACTGGAATTTGTCCTAAATGACCTAGTTTAGGTCATTTCAAGGTCAACTCATTTTTTTTAAATGGAACCACCTACTTTTTATGCCAGAAATCGATAAAACAGGAAATTCCACGTCGAAATCGTTGATGCTCTTTTTTTCGATAGATCGACCTATTTAGGACAAATAGGTCATTTAATTATTATTGTATTTGGGGAAATAACTTTAAACTAATTAATTTCACAAAGACATGTTTCAGTCAAAAGTTTTTTGTGCTTAAAGGGGAATATTCAGTGATGACCTTAAATTTGTCCTAAATGACCTGAATTAGGTCATTTCAATTTCAACTCATTTTTTTATAATGGAACCATCTACTTTTCATGTTACAAATCGGAAGAGCAGGCAATTCCACGAAATTCTCGAACTGTCTTTTTTTAGAGAGGAATCTTATTAACAATAAAAAATACAGTTTAGGTTAGTGCAATTGATAGTAAAAGTAGAAATGAATTCTTAATATTTAGTGTTAGTGGTGTTACTACTGACAGTTTAAAAAAAATTATGTAAATGTCACTGACATTGAACATAACGATAAATTGTGAAACAATTAAGTATTACAGTAAAAGTGAGAGGTGTAGTGCACTAAACAATTTATTGATAATAAAACTGATAGTGTAATTGACCATTAAAATAAAGAAGGATTTGAGGGAATATAAAAAAGATGTAAGTGTAAGGTGAAGTGAAAGTAAAAGTGTTTAAAATCATGTTACTGGTAGTGCAAGTATAACTGTAAGAGTAAGAGAAAATGAGATAGAAATTTTTTCAGTGAGAGTGAAAGTGAAATATAAAATTTTTTAGTAAAAGAGAATGTGAAAGAAAAATTGAAAATATTTTGAGTGAAAATGATTGACAGAAAGAGTGAAACTTTTTTGAGAGGAAGTGAGAGTGGAAAATTTTTGAGAAAAAGTAAGAGTGAAAAAGTTTTTAGCGAAAGTGAGAGTGAAAATTTATTGAGTCAAAGTGAGAATGTGAGTGAAAATTTTTTGTGTAAAAGTAAGGGTAAGAGTTAAAATCTTTTAAAGTGAGAGTAAAAATTTTTTGAGTGACAGTGAAAGTGAAATTTTTTTTAAAGAACGTGAAAGTGAGAGAGAAAATTTATTGAGTGAATGTGAAAGTTAGAGTGGAAATTTTTTGAATGCGAGTGAGAATGATAGTGAAAGATTTTTGAGTGAGAGTGTTATGTCATATTTTAAATAAATATTATTTTTAACTAATCTGAACTTATAATTGTTCCCTATTCTAATTTCCTCAATTAAACTTAGTTAAATTAACTAAGTTGGGAAGAGGTTTATTAAATGAATGATTTAATATAATATAAAACTTATTTATTTTTAAAAAATGTAAAATGTTCTTAACAATTTGTGTTATACAATCAAATAAATCATTGTTTTAATATTTGGTATGGTTACCTTTAGGATGTTATATTGAGGAGTCTTCAATTAGAAAAATTTTTAAGTGAGAGTGAGGGTGAGAGTGAGAGTGAGAAAGAAAATTTTTTGTGTGAGATTGAGAATGAGGCTGAGAGTGAGAGAGAAAAATTTTTGATTGAGGGTGAGAGTGAGAGAGAAAAATTTTTGAGTGAGGGTGAGAGTGAGAGAGAGAAAATATTGAGTGAGGGTGAGAGTGAGAATGAGAGAAAAATTTTTGAGTGAGAGTGAGGGTGAGAGTGAGAGTAAAATTTTTGAGTGAAGGTGAGAGTGAGAAAGAAAAATTTTTAAGTGAGGGTGTGAGTGAGAGTGAAAAATTTTTGAGTGAGAGTGAGAAAGAAAATTTTTTGTGTGAGATTGAGAATGAGGCTGAGAGTGAGAGAGAAAAATTTTTGATTGAGGGTGAGAGTGAGAGAGAAAAATTTTTGAGTGAGAGTGAGTGTGAGGGTGAGACTGAGAGAGAAAAATTTTTGAGTGAGAGTGAGGGTGAGAGAGAAAAATTTTTGACTGAGAGTGAGAGTTACGTGAACGCACCCCTGCATCATATCCAGAGAGCTGGGTTCTTCTTCAAAGTTTTTGGCGAATCTCGATGGTAAATACGTGATGAAATCAGCATCCACTTCTACAATGATTCTCGGTCCATATTTAGTTTGCACCTTCTTCATTTTCGTAATATAATATAGACCATTTTTCGTCATCTCGGATAGAGGTTTCGTCGGCAAGTAACCTTCGAAACGTCCAACTGCGTTGAATTTTGCGAGATCCATTTTTTCTATGAAACAACACCTGAAGCTGAAAGATTACCTTAAACAAAATAAAAATAAAACACTGTAGACTTAGAAATAAAATATAACTGAAAAGAAAACTTAGAAATAAACCTGAAATAGAAACTGAAGAAATTTAACTAAGAGAAAACTTACAAATAAACCTAAAATATAAACTTAGAAAATTTATCTAGAAATAAATATGAAATAGAATCTTAGAAATAAACCAGAAATAGAAACTTAAAAAATAAACCTGAAATAGAAACTTAAAAAATAAAGATGAAATGGAAACTTAGAAATAAACCTGAAATAGAAACTAAGAAAATAAAGCTGTAAAAGAAAAGAAATGTTAAAATAGATAACTGATTATACTTACTGTTAATTGTAAAACCTGAAATAAGAATGACCTAATGCTATATGAAAAATCGCTTTATATTACTGCAACTCCCCACTTATTGTGTAAACCCCACCACATTTCTCAATGCGCACGCAAATTTACCCCCACTACAGTATTCGTTGTGCACGCAAAAGTCCCCACCATATTTTGAATGCGCGCGCAAATGTACTCCGCCTTAATATGTGCTAAAGTTATGCATGCTAAAATTAAATCTATTTTTAAACAAATTAAATACATTAATTTAAAAATCAATTGTTTTATTATAATTTATGGTGAAGGCGGTTGTGATGCGTCTGGAATTTCCATGTTTATTTGAATAATTTTTAATATATCTGCTGTCGCAGGATAGGCCTCTAGCAGCTCAGTCATCTAAAAGAAAACATATTATTTTAACATTAATTAAAAATTAAATTGATTCAAAATACAATTTCCCAACATACTTCTTCGGGATCAATGTTGAAGACAAGACAATCATCATCATTATCATCGATGATGATGATTGTCTCACCTTGACTGTCGTATTTATCATCGACTTCATCATCATCATCATCATCACCATCATTTTCAGCATCTTCAAAGTTGTTGTGAGCATATTCGTCAAAAATACATTCGGGATCAATGTCGACGACAAGACAATCATCATCAACAACATTATCATCATCTTCATAGTTGTTGTGAGCATATTTATCAAAAATACATATAACATCTTCTTCTTCAATATTTTGCGAATGATTAAATTGATCCATTTTTCTAAAAATAAAAAACTTTAATTTATTATAAAAATCGCGAAAGTTTACTTCAGAAAAGAAAGTTAACAATTGATATAAGTTTAATTAACTACAATAAAATAAAGAAAAAATAAGGTAACTCAATTTAAAAAGAAAAAATAGCGGAACAAAAACTAAAAATATAGAGGAGGTTTAATGTGTAATGAAATAATAAGAAATGAAATCTAAAATAAAATATAACAGAAATAAAGCGAATAATTGAAATAAAATATAAGAAATAAAACGAATAATTGAAATAAAATATAAAATATATGAAATAAAACGAAAACTAGGACGTGCCCCACCACCTGGCTGGCGCACGCAACTTGTCATACCCCTCTTCGACTAACACGACTTTATTTAATTATTTTTTTTGAAAAAAAAAACAAATGGTAATTATTTTAATAAATGAGAATTCTTTTAATTCAAATATTCAAATTCATTCAATATTCAAATATATGTATATGTTTTGAAAAAACACCTGTGGAAAATGTTACCTCTTATTTCTTTTTTAAAACTTTAATATTAAAAATCGTTCTTAATAATTAAAATACTGCTTGATCAAGGTACAGAAATGTTCAATCATTTAGAGTTTAATTCAATTTAATGATTTAGAGCTTAAAAAATTAATTTTTTTTTTATTTACATCTAACTAAACTGAATTTTCCTAAAAAAGTCACTCATATGAATGACTTAATGTTATATTATTAATATTATTTAAAATTAATTTACTAGGTAACTTATAAGTTTTAATAAGATAAATTTTATTTTAAAAAATATTAAAATAAAGGATAGGGTTAAAATAAATGCAAGAACAATGTATTATATTTCGCATATATGTAATTTTCATATATGTACATGAAAAATTATAAAAAGTTTATTTTTAAAAAATGTATTTAAATTATTTAAAAAAATAAATTTCTTTTGAAACTTTGAAATGAAACACTTTTGCCAATCTCCATACTTTTAAAAAGAAAAAACTAAGGCGTTGTCCGCAGTGGCGAGACATTAGGATATTTCAGACAGCTGAACTGACTGTGCTGGCACTTCTGGTCTGAAAGTCAAGTTTTATTGTGCTTTAACTTTTCAATATGATACATACGTTTTTGATGTACGAAATATCGCTATACTGTTAATAACAGTTTCAAGATATTTTAAAAGTTTTATTTCCCATCGGTATAAGTGATAATATATAAAAATTTCCGGAATTTTCTAAATGTTTTGAGTCTTTAGTATTTAAGTTTCCTTCAAAATATCCAGAGCACTATGAATTATTGTTCGATGCATAGGATTGTACATCGTCATTACCGAAAAATGCTGTTTCCGCATTGGCGAGACACTTGTTGTCGGCAGTGGCTTTTTTATATCTAATAATATTGTACATGTCCTAATGAATTTGATATAATTTTTGTACGTTTTGTCGACAATATTTTTCATAACTATAGTTTAAATTGAAAAAGATGAACAGGAAGAAAAGCTTATATGTTTTTAATAACTGTGACATGGATTAGCGGCTCACAATGAGAAAAATATTTGCCTGTATTTTTATGATTGAATGAAACAATATTATGATTTAAAGGCATCAATTATTATACTCTTTCTCTTTGATTCCTTTGTTTTTGTGACGTTTGAACGATGAAGACTCTGATTTTAAGATAGTGTCTCGCCACTACGGACGATTTTTTATGTCGGTAGTCGCGAGACATTATCGTAAATCGGCAATAACTTTTTTTTCCATTATCTGTTCTGTAACTGTATAACTTAAATTTGCAGTATAGAGTCACACCTGTCCATGGATATATATACAGACTTGATGTTCTTGAAAATGTGAGTGCTATAACAAAAAAACAAAACGTGTCTCGCCACTACCGACTCTCCCTTATATAAATATTTTTTTAAACTTATTTTAATTTTTTTTTAAAGTTGTTTTTTACTTTTTTTAACATTTACGTCGGTTTTATCCGATGGCTTTTACCGTTTACTACCCGTCTGCATTTTTTTCGGCCTTGTTGGTGTACGTAAACATGGATCGTTTACATCCAACATTATACATTTTGACGTTGAAGGAGTCGGCTATGAAGTCAATGATTTCGACGTTGAAGGCTTTAAGACTGACAATTTTGTCGCTGTTCCAACATTTAAAGAAGTTCGAATCAATGTTAAGTTTTTTTATTGTTATTGATATTGTTATTGTTATTGTTATTGTTATTGTTATTGTTATTGTTATTGTTATTGTTATTGTTATTGTTATTGTTATTGTTATTGTTATTGTTATTGTTATTGTTATTGTTATTGTTATTGTTATTGTTATTGTTATTTTTTGAAGACGTTGAAGACGTTGAAGAACTGGATTCAGATGATGACGAACTGGATTCTGATGACGAACTGGATTGCGATATCTTTGGTGGTGACACCTTTGGAGGAGACACCTTTGGAGGAGACACCTTTGGAGGAGACACACCATCACATTTTTACTTAGGAGTAGTTCCTTTGGAGTAGGAATATATTCATCCACAGGCTCCCACCTACTCTTTCGACGTTGAAAATCATTCTCCTTTTCTTGTAGAAATATAAAAGATTTAGAATTTCATAATTATGAATAAAGAATAACAAAACTAATGGGACTTGATGAAAAATAGAAAAATATATAACATAAAAAAATAATTAAGGTGTATAAAATATTTATATATAAATTAAATAAAATGTAGGTGAAAAAATAATTAAAGTGTATAAAAATAGTAAGTATAAAATAATTAAATTGAAAAATATGTAAAATAATCAGAGTATAAAATAATAATTAAATTGTATAAAATATAGAAAGTGAAAAAATAATTAAAGTGTATAAAAATGGTAAGTGTAAAATAATTAAATTGAGAAATATGTAAAATAATCAGAGTATAAAATAATAATTAAATTGTATAAAATATATAAAGTGAAAAATAATAATTAAAGTGTATAAAAACGGTAAGTGTAAAATAATTAAATTGAAAAATATGTAAAATAATCAGATTATTTTTTCCAGACTATTTTATTGATACTCAAGATTCTCTCGCATTGATTTTCAAAATTAGAAGAATTAATTTTCATTTACCTCAATGTTTACTTTGTTCGTGGTGTTATTGTACATCACCGGCTGGATCGCCCTTGGGGTATAAACATGAGGTTGCTGATAAGTACCTCTATACGGTAATCGTTGATTATATCCAGGAAACATCTGTAAATATATCGTTAAAATTATTAGTTTTTAGTCGTTAAAAATATATGTAAAAAAAGTAAAACAAAGTATAATTTAAATTATTTTTAACTTACAAATTGGTTAACACCCATATGCCGACAGAAGCAGAAAAAACCGCAATACCCATTCTAAAACAGAACATACAGTTAAAATATTACTTGTGTAATAATTTAAATATTTAATGTTTTGTAAAATAAAATAAAATATTTATTTTTACAAAATAAAATTTAAAAAAAATATAGGTATATTTTGTGAAATAAAATATTAAAACTTTTTAAATATATGTTTAATTACCATTTTTCAGGAGTTCAGTAGATCTGTTTAAATGAAAGGTTTCACTTCAACTAATGCTTTCTTTCTAATAAAGCCGGTTCGTTTCATATTAGCATTGCTGACAACTGTGTAACAAGAAATCATAACGGAAAAACTTGCAAGGTTGATAAAGAAACCAGGTTAATTTAAACCCACTACCAAGCCATTTGCAATTCGCGAATAAAAAACTTAAAACTACCGCAAAGCCTTTTTAACCTGGTTTGTAAAAAATAACGCCAAATTATTTATTAAATAATAATAATTTAAATTTCCCGCCAAGCGGGGTTTGACTTAGTTGTTAATCGACAGTGATGCCGCCTGACGGTGACAGCTAAAACTTCCACAATCGGTAATTTGAGCGGAAAATTTGAAATACCCAAATTACTTTAAATTGTTTAAAAAAATTAAAAATTGTAAATTTATCTAACTAATTAGTCTTAAATTAAATTAACGCGTCAAATTCAAAGAAAACAATATATAATTAAATTGATTATTAATTAATTATTAATTGATTATTAATATTGCGAATGATTTATCTAAAGAGGTACGTCTAGAACGAAAAGAATTACTTATGTTTAAGAACAAGTTGATTGAGGGAGGTGAGCGAAACATTATAATCAAAAGAAGCAAATTATGGATTGGAAACAAGGCATTCTCTTTAGAAGAGGTCCAGGAAATGAAAAATGAAAAAGAGCAACATCGCTCCCAATCTTCTAGCCAGAGTCCAAATTCGCTGAATGGGTCAACTCCTGAAAGAGAAAAGAAGTGTACTTTAACCCAACTTTGGAGGAAGACTGTTGGCGATCAACCCTGGATGTGGCATTCAGTAGAATTGAAAATTTAAACTTCTGCTGCCCGATGATAGTGGGCGGTGATTTTAATGGTAGAACTGGTGAGTTAAACCAATTGGATGAAGTTGCCCTGTTATTGTCATTGGTCCTATAACAAGGACAATGGATCTGTAATTTTCAATAGGTAAGTTAAAAATTTTATGTACGGGACGTTCCACGTCAACAAGGACAGGCTTCTGCCCAAAAATGGTTTTGACGGATTTCAATGTTCTAGGGCTTAAAAAATTCGTAAATTTCTATACTTTCGAATGCCGAGTGGCGATTTTCAAAATTTTAAATGGCGGCTCCAATATGGCGCATAAATGGCAGTAAGTTTGAAAATTTAAAAATAAATTTGTGAATTAAACGTCTGAAAGAATTCCATTCAATCCAAAACACCTCATACAACAGTTTTTGGGGTCGCTGAATGCAAATATGATGTTAGTTTTCCAAAATTCAAAATGTCGAATTCAAAATGGCGGTTAAAATTTTAAAAATCGATCAAAATGTCTTAAAACTTATTTCTCAGGGGGTTTTTTGGGTCGCTTATTATGAATTTAAAGTTATTTTTAATAAATAAGAAAAAATAAAATAAATTTTAA